GGAGATAACTCTTACACCAACTGTTACGGACTTCTCACTATTATTTCACATTCATGTCTTACAGACATTTTCTAGTTTTATTAAAGAGCACATAAGATTCAACTTTTAAAGAACAAATAAAGAATACTAGGATATCATTTTCTGTACATGTTCATAACCTTAAACACATAGGAGTACTCTTAAAGATACACACAGCTATTTCTTCCCCATGTTGATGCATGTTTTAATATTTTAGGGCTTAAGTTGGGAGGAGTCCTTGAGGTATTAAGAAGATTTCCCAAGGATGCTGAGGGTGTGTTGGGGTCAGGAGGAGGAGTTACAGCTGAGGATATTCACAATTTTTACAGCCCAATTTACTCCACAGAATCTACAGAGAAATCAAAAGAGCAGCGGATTGTCTATAATCTCAATAGGTTCCTGTGTAAAATTGAAAGTAAGCATGATTATCGGTTCTTATATCCAGGGTTTTCCTGGTATAAGTTCTTTTGTCACTTTTTCTGGTGCCAAACCTCTGACATGGTATAACTTGGTATGACTGTAATACTGCAGCATGGGAGAGGCAAAGGCAGGTAGTATGACATGAACTACTTTTGGATCCAAACATTGGTCATAAGGTCACATAGAAAGTGCAAAGGTAAAATCCATACTTTTTATACATACATTTGAAAGTTTTAGACAACTCTGCAATTATTTGATTAATATGGTGATCAAAGTCAAAGGTCAACATCTTGAAATTATTTGCCTTTCTGTTAATACAGTTGCAACAATTTAATCATGTGAGAATTATTGTGACAAAGTTTAACATCAGAAGGTCAAAGAAGTAGTTCACAGACTCTGTCGATCAAAGTCTTAAATTTAAAAAAAAAAAATTTCTCTCTCTCTCTGAAATATTTGACTTTTTAAGTCATTGGGCTTTGTCCATCAACATCTGATACGGTCTGCCATCCATCTAGTATAAACTTTTCCTTCAGATGTCTCTCTCAACAACCAATAAAAGCCCCAGGGTGTTGATAGTATGCATGTAGTATGCTGAGATGAAGAAGTACCAAGTTTGTTTTAATGAAAGACCTGGACTTAATTAAGTTTCAAGGTCAGAGAGGTCAGAAGTCTTAAAATCTTCCAGCAAAGTCTTCTTGGCAAACAAAAGGCCAAGAATACTAATTTCTCATATTACATTGTGATTTGAAAACCGAAAACCTAGTTTTGACCATACACATATTACATGTATGTGTAGTTTTTACTGAATTGTCTTAATTTATTGCCATTAAAACTAAAAACAATGTTTCATGGTTCATCTTGTTATCCCCTTGCAATGCAATGTCAATACATGTAGTAACGGGGCTTTGGTTCCGTGCATGTATGCGTCCATGCGTGCATCACACATCTTGTGAACATGGTAGAAACCAAACCCTTCTGTATATCTTCATCCAAATTGGTACACATATCACTTATTAGGAGGGTATGGTGCCTATTGATTTTGATCGCAGGTCACAGGTCAAGGTCACAGTGGTTACATATGATTACCTTGTGAACGCAAGAGACACAACCGTTTAGTGCATCTTCATCAAACATGGTACACATCACTCTTATGAAGAGAAGAGAGTTCCTATCAATTTTCAGGGTCAAAGGTCAAGGTCACGTTCTTCACATAAAAAAGAGGGGTTTGCATAGGGATGCTATACTTTGCATTTCCCTTGTTATGTTTTGTTATTGCAAAGACATTTGTTAACTTTTATTAAAATGACACACATACATGAAAGAGATGACGCCTATTTAAGCGCTTGGATGATCCTGACAATTTGTAAATACATGTAATTTGGCTGCCACCAATAACTCACCATGATCTCGTACCAAAGTTATGAACTACATGCAGTGACAATGACATAACTTACGGTAATATATCGCAATATGTATTGCAGTATTATTCTTCTGTATTGCACTATATCGCAATATGCAAAAACCATATCATGGCATCAGTATCTGTCAATGGTTGTTAACCAAACCTAATGCAACAATTTTCTTACAAGTGCCATAATGTGTAATTTTCATATAACACTATGTTTGTTTGCTTTGCAGAAAACAAAATATCTTCTACATGGTTAAATCCATGGCATGATGGTCAAGATACACCTGAAGATCAGACAAAAGCTATCAGTCTGGAAAATGTGTTACAGGCACTTATCGGAAGTCCCAGACTTCCAAGAGATGTGTCCAAAGGAAATATTCAGTTTGACCACAAATCATCCAATCTATCGAGTGTTAACACTTGCGTACCCTCCATTACTTTTTCAAATATTGACTCCATCCAAGCATATGAAAAATTTGAGGAGGCAATGATCTTTATAGTAGTTGGTGCATATGGATTTGGATGTGCATAGAAAAATTACAGATTTACACCAGCAGTTCTCCAAACCTGACTCTTTACAAGTTTTACATCATTTACATCAAGGGTAACCTGGTTACTGCAGATTGCTTATATTTCGCGAGAACTTAATTTTTGCATAAATTCACAAGAAACCTGGGTCGCAAATTTAAACATATCATGAATTCTTATCATTTCAGACTATCAGAGACGAATATGATCGGACACAGTTTACCGTTACTGTTGGCCTTATTGCCAGTGTCGTTTCATTTGTGTAATATTATCCACAGAAGATACAGTAACCTAATTAATCAGTGAATGCAGATGTGTAATATTAGACGAAAAAGTGTCAGCATCTTTCAAATAACCTTGCATTAAGATTGCCCCAAATGCGAAATGGAAAACCACTTTTCTATAAATAGATCATCCGTCACGATTAGGCAATGCACAATAGAGAACTCATTCAAAATTGTTTTAAATTTGAATTCCTTGAACAAAGTACAATACTTCTTTATGTTTTTGGATGAGATGATTATATTTAAATATATGATATATATATAGTAGCGTTCACGTGTAATCATTCTCAGCACACAATAGGGTCATTAGCGGTACTGTAATCACATACTCATAGTCTAAGAAAACAGAAATCAAAACTAATAATCAGTGCTGAGTTATGTGGTTAATCTCTTCTAGAGAAAAGATCTGTCTATTAGAGATCACATATTGTAATGATCATTTTGATGGTGGGTGTCAAGATCCTCTGGGATCTTTTGTTGCCCAATCTGTCCATTACCTGGTATAATGATTGAACTTAGTTTTTACATATGGATTCATAATTTGTTTTTCTAACATGTTTGATATAATTTTGTTACTGATGCCATGTGTACCCCTTGACATATTTGGTTCATATTAATACTAAAGCATCACATGATCAAGTACTAACCTGATTACATTTTTGGTGGTCATTGGTCAAGGCTGAAGGTCAAAAGTAAACTTGACCACTTTTAGCACTGAGAGTGGGAAATATATGCAAGTCCCTGCTCACTATGTTTTTATCACGTCACTGTTGCAATTGCCTTTTGTCCATAGTGCACAAGACTTTTCATTCAAACGACTTTCAATAACTGGAAGACCTAAGATGCTAATATTTGGCCCGTAGCATGCTGGCATAGAGCCCTACCAAGTTTGTTCCTTGAACTCCTTTCAAGGTCATAAGGGCCAAAATTGTTAAAATCTTCAAACAACTTCTTCTCAGTAACCAAAAGGTTCAGGGCACCGATATTTGGCCTGTAGCAAGCTGGCTTATATCCATAAGATCTTGCAAGAGTTCAAAAACCAGACAAATTTGATCAAGTTTGACCGAGTTATTGCCTTTTGTTGTGTTATAAGCAATCTTGTGAACACAATAACTTGGTTAATTATTGACCAACTGATGAAACTTTTTATGCTGCTTTATATCCATAGGATCTTGAATGAGATTGAAAACCATGCACACCTATTTGATCAAATTTTAAAAAGTTATTCCCCTTTGTTGTTTTATTGTATTAAAAATCTTCTGAACACAATTACTCTAGCAAATATTAACCCTTTTTTTGAAACTTTGTATGTGTTCTTATAGCAGATCTCAGTTGAGTTCGTAAACAGAATAGAATTTTCCCCTTTGTTGTTTAATTATCTGTAGACCTTTGAACACAATAACTTGATACCAGACAGTTCCATGTGAATTTTTAAGTTATTTTTATAACATGATATAAAAAAGTGAAAAAAAATAGTGAAAGCTTTGTTACTCGGTTGACTGTTAATGCCCTTGGGCCTCTTGGTTTTTAAGAAAACCAGATGCAATGTTTGTATGTCCCAGATAAAGATCATGATTGCTAAAAGTAGAATGTGTTTTGGGTCAAACAATAAGTTGTCTGACATATCTCAGTTCCTGGTTGCAAAACTAAATGTACCTGTTCTCACATTAAATGTTGGACATTAAACACATTAAAATTTCTTTTGAAGAAACAGTTTTGGAAATGTCAAGTACAATACATAGTGTCTGATGCAAAATCCAAATGATGTAAATAAGTAAATGTCTATAAAAAACCAATCATAATTTCCAGATAATATGATTATTTATCATTACTAAAACCACTGCCTGCATCTACAGGAATTCATTTTCTTGGTTCAGATCCCTTTTAAAGGCAGTGAAAATCATTTCTTCCTTCATCAATAGTTTCTCAATAATACAATATTGTGCATTTATTTTTAAACCTAACTTGAAATTCCATAGAATAACATGTTGAGTTTGGTAAAATTCGTAAATCTAGGAAGCGCAATTAATGTTACCATATAGAAAACTGAGTTATTTTTCAAGGAGCAGGTTTAATGAAACGGGTCAGTAACATTTTTCAGTATTAGAGGTGAAAAAAAACAGGAAACAATGTATAATAACAAAATGGCATTTATTCTTACAGGAAAATTAAATGTACAGTTTTGAAAGAAATTTTCATATGCATTAACTGTTATTAAAATGATTTCATCAACTTCTTTGTGTGTTGTCATCTATTTGGTATGCATTGCTTTTAACATCATATTTCTTTTGAAGCAATAAGAATTAAATGGAAAACAAGATTTGAAGAATTACGTCCCCCACCGGGCATACCTTGATCGAGGTCAAAGTCAAGGTCACAGTGACCTACTTTTGGTATGTGTCATATACATGTGTACTTTCTTACCATGGTGCACCCACATGCCAGGTTTGAATTTCCAGTATGAAAACGTATGAGCCTGGACATGCTCTTTCTTCCACAGAGGTCAAAGTTAAGGTCACAATGGCCTACTTTTGGTACACGACAAACCATCTCACCATGGTGCACCTACATACCAATTGTGAAGTTCCATTATGAAATGGTATAGGAGTTGGATCTCGAACAAGGATTTTCTTTACAGAGGTACAAGGTCACAATCAAGGTCACAGTGTCCTACTTTTGGTACCAGACACACCATTTTACCATGGTGTGCCCACATGCCAAGTTTTCAGTATGAAATACTATGTAAAACACGGTTATAACAAATCTCTGGGGACCATGATTTTTAGTTTGTTATAAGCATAATTCATTATACACTTTAGATTTTCATATAAAAGACACCTAAGGGGACTTAAAAATCACTGAATTCATTGTAAGCGAGTTTCTTGTAAGCGTGTTTTACTGTAGTATAGCGACAGACAGAATTGACGCAAACTACAGCCCCCCTTAAGTTCCCGGTGGGGGAGTAATAAATCCTGTGATGGACATAAAATTTTACAAAAGTTTAGAGGAGATTTAAAAACCATCAACCATGTAATAATCCATGACATATTTATGCCTACTGAAAGCTTCTCAGGAGTTGGACCATTTCCTGGAAAAGATCTATCCCAAAACACAATGAGTTTCTGTGAGTAATTTCAGATATTGTCTGATGGTGTTCCTCCATTATAGGAAATGTTGGTGTTGGCGGTATTTCCACACAGTCAGGATCAACGTGGTCTGGCACTGGACCATCATAGTCAATTCCAAAGTTCAATTGATCATTCTGTAATAAGAATAGGACACACTTAACAGTATTCTGATTCCTGAATAATTCAGTGCAAGTCCCCTGTCAATCAAATAGTCAAATATTTGAAAGGGCCATAACTCTGAATTTGAAATGCTCTCATGAAAGTTTAATTAAGTGATCTGAAACAACAACATCTCCAAGTATGGTTTCAATTTAAAGTATTCCATGTATAATAGATGTCGGCAAACATCGGTGAACAATTCACATAGCAGCAGGGGAAGACAACTCCATATTTTTTTTCAAATGTCACATGGTCACACAACGGGGTTGGGGGGGGGGGGGGGGGGTTAGGTTACTCTGTATTTCCTTTCAGATTAAAGATTTAATGCTAATATCTGCTGGTTCCCTTTAATTTTAAAATTATATCCACAAAACTCTATTGATGAAGCTAGTTGGCTACAGTTTCATGCGTGTGATACATTCAGGTTATCTATTATAACTGATTTTTACCTCACTTTGCGGATACCATGACGGATCCAGTATCTGTCCTCTGATCCACAGCTGAAGAGGCGTTTGATTTCCCTCTGTTCGAATAGGTCTCCGACAGAAGGAATCTCTGAAGACATCCAAATGCTGCTGAATCCTGGACTTAAATACTAGATGAAGAGCTAGGAGATGGGTCTCATCATCAGGATCTAACACAGATTCTATTTCCATATGATGAAAGATTTGATAGTAAAGTGTAACAACACCTGGCCACAGCTCTCTCCAAAATCTTTCAATCCTATTTTGATAGTTTTATTAGATAGAACATCTTATAAAGGGTAGAGAGAATAAAAGCCTTTAGTGAAACCACACTGCTTACTTTCCCAAAAATTTCTACTGTTATATAATCAGGGCTCTTAACTCCAACCATTAAAATATGTGAACATCCTTTAGTTATTTGTTGTCTGTTGTACCTATTTTAATGCCCAAATATTTTGCTTTTAATACTTCTATAAAGTGACTCTTTTTTCTTTAATATAATGACTTCATACTCATGACCTGCTACCCCAGTAATTTATTTACTCTTTACCTTTGATTGTGGACACTTCTCCCTGCAATAAAGCTTTTGGGTCCTTTCTGGGTTACCATATACTCAGCCACTTTGACATTTTCTCCTCCCTTGTCTGTTCTTACTTTTTCTGGAGTTCCATATTCTTGGACCGCATGCAAAAATGCAGCTAACACTGTTTCTGCACAGTTATTTGTGTTTACTTGTAGAAATACTGGTAGTCTGGAATAACCATCGATGCCACCATGAATCACAAATCTCCATCTAAATTTGATAAATGAAAGAAACATCTACAGCTGTACATGTAGACTACAATTACTTTTTGTAATTTAAATTGTATGGGTGAGCTTTTTACATCTATTTTCATAGCCTTTTAAATGGTCAAAAATAGTTAATAGCCAAAAAATATCACTGAACGATTTTAATCAACATAACTTTTTGATGTTTGAACATATCTTTTATTGTCCATAAGCAAAAAATACATATTGGGCACAAGTTTTTACAACTTAGAAAATTGAAATGCCCTCTCCTGAACTGAAGACAGTCTTGTGAAATCATTTTTTACATTAATGCACTGTCAATAAATTTATCAGAATATCTGTATACATACAATTGTACTATTTGACCAGGGTTTAAATGCTAGTTGTTTTTTTAAGATGATTTGCTTATCAAGTTTCCAATTATGAATACTTTCTTGATTTAAGACCAAAACAAGTAAATCATATAATGCAGTTTACACAGTGAGGTATAAACATGACTGTTATTTTTTATGGTGTGGACTGCACAAATGACTTTATCGTACAGAGCCTGATACAGAAAAGATTGAATGAGTGGGGCGGAAATGGGGGCTGGTGCTGAGGCAGTTTTGTGGGGGGAGGGTGGATTGTTGTGGAAGGCGGTTGATGATGAATTTTTGCATGGAGAAAGCCAAAATCAAAATTAGGCTGGGGGTGGTATGTGTGTGTGTGTGTGTGTGGGGGGGGGGGGGTTAGCTACTGGCTACACATACACCCCTAATTCCGCCCCTGATGTATATACTACAAAATACCTTATCAATTTGTGATTATCAATGTGCCACAATGCTAGGGGAGCTCGTACACTGTAACTTCTTCGCTGAAGCCTATGAGATGATAAAAACATTCTTCTCAATAATGTACCCTGGGGATCCACTTTTCTTACCAAATCCCTTACTTTTGACTGCTGCACAATGTGTCCCTTTGATTGGAGGATGGATGCTATAGTTTTATATCCGACGTTCGGAAATTCGTCGATGATCTTCCTTACTTCCTCTTCCAGCTCCACACACGTCATGGCTGAATATTTGCTACGTATGGACGGTAAACCATATTCTGACATTCTCCTTCTAATAGTTTTTACACTTACACCCAACATAGAAGCAATGTCTGTTAGTTTAAAGTTGTATTTCAACAGCGACACTAGTGTTTCATAAGGAATTTTGTAATAAGGTGCACCACTTTTCCCTTGGCAACGCTCTAGTGTAATTATTGTACAGGCTGTATATGTACTAGACTGATGTTGGTCCTGGCCATGGTCATCGTGTTCCCGCAAATCATACAGTGCCCGCGCTGCCAGTTCCAATACTTCGGATATATCGACCGATGCTATCGCCGAAAATTGATTCAATATATCAATTGTTCTTTCCAATTCACCATCAATGTTTTGTACTCTGTCATTCTCTAATCTGTTTGCCAGACTCAAGAATTTGTCTGCTATTTCTTGTCTTACCTGGACCTCAAGATGATCCATATTATAGGGATTGATATGTTCCGATTAACCACTTCCGTATATTCGTCCCAACAGATGATGTCGTAAAAACGGCACGTCAAAATTATTCAAAATAAAACATGTAATTGGTACAAGCACAATTTCCTAATAGTTATAATTATATTTCAAATTAGCATAACGCATTTGCTTCAACCGTTTTTATATAATTATAATATGAAGTTACCAGTCGGTGGTTGTTAGGGAGCGCTCCGTAATTTTTATTAAATGTTTAGATTTTACTGCCGCCTGGTGTTAGAATGAAGATCGAAAAATGCAGAAGGGTTTTTTGGGACATTATTCTATTGGCGGATTTAGAGGCAAAAATCGAACTTCGGGGGCAATTATTTCAATTTCAGATAATAGATGTTAAATATGAATATGAATACAACACGTTTAGGTATATTACCATAATAAAACTGAAACACAACTGTGAAATTCAACGTAATGAAATAACCACATCGGAAAGAAAAGCACCCAAATTACAAATTGGAAACTATAAAAGGGTATATCAAATCAAACTTTTAAGCCCCCGGAAAAAAAGACTAATATCTTAAATTTATTAAAAATGCTAAAGTACAGACACAAAAACTCTATAACGCTGAAATAAGAAATGAAAATATCAACACAAATCGCAATGTAAAAATAAAAAAATGATAAAATAATTCCAATAATTAGTTAAATTCCTAAAACTTGGGAAATTGTTAAAACTAGAATCATGTCCCTTTTAACCCTCCATATATATGTGCCTTACAATTATGTAGAAATTTTGATTTAACACACAAGTAAACAATGTCTTGGACATTTTTAAGCACGTAAACCATGAATGTTATGCTAATATTATGAGTTATTTAACTCATAAATCAGTTGACTCGTAACATTGGAATGTTGGTACGTCCGTCCGTCTGTCTGTAGACACATTTTGTCTGGCTAACTCCTCCTAAACCTGTGAACCGATTTTGATGAAACTTTACAGGAATATTAAGGATCATGTGTAGATATGCATGGCTCTTTCTTTTTTTGAAAATTTTGGTTGCCATGGTAACTGGTCACTATAAACAAGTTTTCTAATAAATGTCCATAACTCCTCAGTTATTTGACCGATTGTATTCAAACTTAGTAAAAAGATGTAATTCAGTAAGTAAGGCCAATAATTGGACATATTAGACGTTTCCCAAACTGTTACCGCGGAAACACAATCCTGGCCTCTGATTGGTCAAAATTTAGATATTGTCCAATTTTGACAAAATTTGGTATATAGGGTTATTAGGGGATGCCAAACATTATAAAATAGGTTTCGTTGCCATGACAAACATGAGTGTTTAGTGTAGATCAAGAACATAACGGCAGACATTTTTTTGTCTCTGTGGCCCTTCAGTGGAAAATATTACTTCAATAAAGATATTTTATATATATATATATTTACAGCTGTATTGTACATGTTCATAGCTAAGACATGCACAGTTCAGTATATATTTACCACATGTTCACTGGTTTATTACACCAGTAAAATTGTATAATTAGATTTGTAGATATGTTGAAATATTTGTTTAAAAATATATTTAAGCATCAGTCAGCACAGTTTATCCATATAGAAAAAGAGGAACTTGCATAAAAAAGCACAGATACAACTGAACATGTAGCAATGGCTATGTTATTGAAGTAAGGGAGATAACTGTAGTTATCCCATACTTTTAGCTTAAATCTAGAAAACAAAAACCAAAAAAACGTAGGAATTATTTCAAACCATGTGCATGTGTACAACACCATAACAACAAAGAATATAACAATGTCAATACGTCCTGTAAATAACATAGTAACCTTCCAGAAGATCATATATTAAGAATTATTGAATATACGCAGAGAAGAAGAGGCACAAAATACTCAGGGACGTCCCTGGAAATACATAATAAAACGACCGCCTTATTTGACGAAAATGGCGGGTATTAAAGATTGACGGAAGTGTCTGGATATACAGTAATAATCAAACTACCAAGTTATAATTTCAGGAATTACATCAAATATGACGGAAGTAGAGGGTAGTAAGTAGTAAGATACAATAAGATATTTCCAGTCTTAATTTCCCTTTATAACTCTCAACAAGTAAAGAGCTTCCTGGCGTTTTCATGCCATTCAATTATTTCTAGTCTTGTTTCGTTTCGTGTCGGATTTCTTTATTGTCAAGATATTGTAAAATACAAGTTATATATTGGGCAACAGGCAAAGCCTATGAAATGCCTCTACTTTTTGCACCAGTAACTTTAAGCGATTTCAAAGCGAACTAAGATGACAAACTTCATCTAGTACTGTTTTTCTTCCACTACCGAGAAGTTCATCTGTGTAAGCCGAAAACAAATACTTGCCATCATCATCAATTTCTCGAGGTTATTTCGAGTATGTCTACTAAACCTATCTGAATAACATAGCCTCGATATTCATGTTAAGGGGCCATAGATTATACATATGTTTAACGACTTTTTAAGGTTAATAATTGACAGTCTATCGCCGCTGTCAGTCTCTAATCTAACCTGCAGAGGTAACATCTAAGATAGAATCGTAAAACTTATCGATGGGAAATATTGTACAAGGTATAGGTTAGCAGTGTAACGGTAATGGTTGCAAAGCCATAAAACTAGTATGCTGTTATAAGGAATCATATGTATATTTTCGCTGTGAACACTTAAAATCACAATAGGTAAAAGGAAAGACACATATTACGAAGAAAAGATATGTGTTTTCGAGGAAAGACACTTTACATAAATTGCGCTAGATCCCAGCAGGCATTGTACGTCAAATTTACGTCATATTTTCGTCAAATGATGGTCAGGACGTCACAGACGAGTATTTGACGAAGATCTGACGTAAATAGCCTGACGTCAAATTGATGTCAAAAGTAAAACGTCAGATGTACGTCAAGTGGCCAGAAAACCTGACGAAAATAAAATGTTTACAAAATGTTGATTTTGATTTCAGAAACGATCTTGGGTAAGGGTACTGTTACAGAAAGAAGGCCTACTGCTTGTCCCATCTCCCGCTTCTTCAGTTCTAGTTTTGTCATGATTGAAACAACATTCATGTGATAACTAATACTCTTTTATCCTTCATTTGCAGTTCTTTCTACAGCTTCATAATTTTAATCAAGCTGTATAAATGAAAAATACCTTTGTATAAATTGCGGTTGATGTCAACCTGATTAAAATCCAGATCCCCAAATACATCACCAGAATCCGTTTTTTTTTTTTTTTTTTGTTACCTCCCTTTAATGGCAAGTCGAAATAGACCCCTTAAAAATAAAATCATCAAATATACATCTACACGATAAGAAATTGTTCTGTGTCAACAAAAAGCTTTTGTTGGTTATTTAATGCTTTAATTTAAATATTCAACTACTTTTAGTAAAATATGGAACGACATGAATATTATCTCCGGAGCAGTTCGTTCATACTTCCTGTCAGTTTAAAATTCTAGCGGGCGCCAAGTGTTACGGCGGGAAACGAGGTCACACAGCATCGGTTTTTTATTTTTTTACATTTACTTTTGGATTTCTGTCTACAACTGGTTTATTTTGCTTCATTCTCGGAAAAGGTGAGTTGATTTATCGCTCAATGTCTGTATTTGCACCGTTATAATTTTACTTTTGTTTTTCGTTGACTTTTTAGCTGTTTAAAAAATCATGGTGGAAACAGATTACACGAGGTTACACAACTCGTGGCCGCCGGATATGGTATTTCTTTCACTCGAGATAGTTGTTTTAAAAGTTATAATAGAAACTCGCTAAAGCTTGTATCTTTTTTAACTTTAAAAAAATAACTAACTCGAGTGAAAGAAATGCCATAACCAGCAGTATTTTCACTTCTAGCCATGCAGAATACACAAAGATATACATCACTTTTTTGCTCAAATTTTCATTTACTGTACGAATAAATCATTTTCACAAGTTGAATTGTTTTGGGATTTTTTTGACCAGGTTTACTGTGCATACATCAATATTTTTACAAAATTGGCAGATATTTTGGGAGAAAATAGTCAATGTAGGTATGTGGGATATGGATATTCTACCTAAGGGTGTATAAGTTGGGGTCTTAACGGAGGCATCAAAGGTTATAACCCAAACTTCTTCACCTTGGGTAGAATATTCATATCCCACATTCCTATTCCTATATATGTCACTTCGTTGGTATTTAATATTGCAAAAAAAATTAACTGATGTTTAAGCATGTGTTATCTTCGTTTTACTAATTGGAATGTAGGGATGTCCTAGCCTGAGTCAGCATGTCATATATAAAGCGATGGAGGAAAATTAGTGCTGCAGCTGAATCTTTTGCACTGGAGAGTACCAGTAGCAGTGATGAAAATAACCCAAACGACGACTATGTCACTGCGGAAAATGCATTGAATTCACCTGTTGATCTGGAGTCTACACAAAATGAGGACAATGACTCTGACAATTCGGGATTTAGCTCTCCTGGTCAATTGATTACAGATGAATCAACTTCAGAAGGTTCGGAATCTGAACTATCAGAAGAAGACGAAGAAAGAAATCGCCTTTCGTTCAAGGAAGAATTGGCAGCATGGATAACAGAAAATCATGTCAGAAGGGCAGGGGCTGACAGATTGTTGGAAATTTTCAGGGAGAGGGGGCTCGATCTACCAAAAGACTCTAGAACTCTTTTGCAGACTCCTGTTGAAGTCCCAACTGAAACTAGGTGCGGTGGAAGTTTTGCATATTTTGGCATTAGATCATCGCTTTTACAGATCCTCGACAGGAGTGAACATTTAGATCTGCACAAGGATATTGATCTTCTTGTCAACATTGATGGTATACCACTTTTTAAGTCGTCTGGAGCTCAGTTTTGGCCAATACTTTTGAAATTGAATAAAAGTGAGCCTTTCCTTGTTGCTTTGTATTATGGAGAGAAAAAGCCAGATTCTATTGATTACTTTCTTCGTGACTTTCTCACGGAATATGATGCCATCTGCAGAAA